AGATGTCTTGTAAGGTACACTTTTAATAATTCAATAAAATGGACTATAGTAAGTGAAAGGGCTGTTAGAGCTGTGTTAGACTGAGAATTCTTTGGTGAGTGATACACTCATGCCCGGCACTCTTTAAAAAAAACCACCTGCTGCTCAGTCAGCAACTTTTAAAATAAGGGCTTACTTAGTTTTAAAATAATTCTGTAACTTCCACTAAAAATCTTTCTACTCACTGTAATCCATAACCTTTACTCAAGGGCCCCCGGTCCTGTGTGACTAAATGGGATGCAAGGGCCAAGCACCCTTTATTTCAGTGGCAATGTTAATTTATTCATTTTTAATGAAATACCCTTCATTCCAATCCCCCGCCCTCCCCCCTGCAAAACACTTCAGCTGTGGCTCACAGAATGTCAAAATGAATCAGTGATTATGTGCATCAATATTTCAACCAAGGTTTTAGTTTACTGTGTGTTCCAGGTAACCCATCTCCATAGCCTTGCCAATTGTGATGCCTATGTGTCTGGCTTAGAACCAGCTTCCTCCCATGTATGTCAGGGAAGCAGGGATCTTCAGTGACTTAGCTACCTAGTCTTAGCTGCTGCACTGTTTTTCAGACAACTAAGCTCAGTAGCCTACTTTGTGGCTTCTCCAGTTCTCTGGCTCCATTCTGGACTCCAGTTCTGACTCCTGTTGCCTTATTCCATGGCACAGTGCAGGGAGATAGCAGTGCAATTCAATTTGCTCCCCATTTGTGGAGAAAATTGGAGTGCAAGAGGCAATTGCAGGCAAGGAAGGGAGACAGAAAAAAATGTTAGCTACCTGATGCAGAAAAATGACAAAATCTGTGGGAAAAATGATGAATTCTGTGACATCTTACAGAAATACCAAATTCCATTCATGGACCTTGCTTGAGGCAAATGAGAGTTCACCTTTGCAGAACTAAGCACAGGCAGGCATCAGTTCCTTAATGTATGCTAAATTCACATTTTCAGAGTTATCTCCCCGGCCCTGAAGATGAGAAATGTTTTTTTTTTCTTAAATAGTGAAAATAGATTCTGTAGTCCAATTCTGGAGCAAGATGTGAATTGCAAAGCAATATTTTGTGACTGAGGGATAGCAGAATATATTGGATCCTGTCTATACTGTTTCCATTCTCACATTGTCTTGTCTTTGAGTCTATCACTCCATTAATAATTTTGTAAGTCAATTCTTTGTGCAACCTACATCTTCCTTGGATTAGAGATTAGTAATTAAAATAAGATCAGAAATACTAATTTCTTACATGAGCTGTAAATAATCCAGTATAGTTTACTGTGCAAAATAAGATCACAATTCTGCAACAACAACAACGAGAAGTCCTGTGGCACCTTATAGACTAATAGATTTATTGGAGCATAAGCTTTCATGAGCAAAGACCCACTTCATCAGATGCATCTGACGAAGTGGGTCTTTGCCCATGAAAGCTTATGCTCCAATAAATCTATTAGTCTATAAGGTGCCACAGGACTTCTCGTTGTTTATGCAGATTCAGACTAACACGGCTACCCCTCTGATACTGCAACAGGATCTGCTACCATGGACTCCTGCAGGGTTCCTTGAAGTACTTGTATACTGCATCTACACTAACAGATTCTGCTGCAGAATTAGGCCTGTCCCAGGAAAGATGTGTGTTTAGTTGCCTCTTGAGCTCAGAACCAGAAGTAGAGTTTCTGATTTCTAATGCAATCGCTGACCTTGACTTCCTCGTGGCCTTGGACAAGTTATCTATCAGTCTACCTCAGTTCTTATTTTATATTCATATCTCTATTTTCTCACCTGTAACATGAGGACAGAAATTATGATTACCTGTTTGACAATATTGCACGGAGAATAATTGGAAAGATAATTCACAATTTTATCTTTAGCAAGCCACCCCCTTTCAGTGATGCAAATATGGTACTTAAGAACACAGAGATGAAGCCATCCATGCAAACTATTTCACTTCCATAAGAATGTATATAAAATAACAGAAGAAAAATCTTCAATGTGTTTTTCAGGGAAGACAAGTCATTTTCCTCCAATGATGCATCACCAGGTGTCCCCTGAGGGCAGGTCTTCTGGTGCTCATTTTCCAAGGTCTCACCTGGCAGAGGCAGTTGCTAAGGCCAAGGGTAGTGGAGGAGGAAGTGGCAGTGGGAGAGGTCTCGTGGGGCAAATTATACCTATCTATGGATTTGGAATCCTTTTGTACATACTGTACATTCTGTTTAAGGTAAGAATAAATATCTGTCTTTAAAGCATTGATGCATCCCATGAAATCTCCTGAAAATTCTAAGTTTGTGCTTGTTTTTAAAAATCATTTAGACAAAAATATCTTTAGTTCAACCCAGCACAGAAGAAGATACAAATTAGTGAGTCAGCAATTTATGGAATAGTGACAAATGGGCAATATTCTGCATGATAGCTTTTACAATAGCAAATACTGTAAGTAAGGATATGTCTACATTACAGCCTTGGGTGTAATTTCAAATTTGTGTAGATGTACTCATGCTAGCTTGCTAAAAATAGCAGTTGGGGTATGACAGTGCAGCCCTAGCTGGTTCAGTATAGATCTGATACTTAAATTGCAGCAAGGGTCTTTCTATAATTTAGGTCCCACTATTTTTAAGTTGGATTACAATTTTTTTTTCTCCACAACGTCTGAGAGAAATAGTTAAATCTATTTTTAATTAATTAATTAAAGAAAACAACATTAGCTGGTGTGAATCAGCAGTGCAGCATTGACATCCCTGGAATTCTCCTAGCTGAAGTTCTGGCCCAAAGAGAAGTTTAAAAAAATCACAGATTAAATACTTCATAGGTAGCTTGTACTTTTTATGGATACTTATGCAGAAATGCCTAGTATTTACCCACATACATTTAAACTGGAGAAAATCATGGCTCATACTACGTGATCATACAGTAGGTGTAAGGCGACCCTGATATAGGCTACAAGATGGGGAGTGAGAGCAGACTCTGTGGCTGTTACATCCTTTCCCATCCAGACTGGCAGGGAGCAAGTGAGCTGAAACAGTCACTCACTGTGCCAGCCTGCATGAGAGAGAAACCAGTTTCCATGCATAAAGGACTTGTGTCGCTTGCTTCTCTCCATAGAACAAGGGGTGAGCTAGGCACTGAACCATGGCTCAGAACAATTGGTAGTTTCTGTTCTGGAGAGCCCCATGTTCAGAAGAGGAGAAGGGCTTTTGCAGGCAATGAAAGATATGTTGGCTGGGCTGCTTAAGCACAGTTCAACAGCATCTAACCTCATACAGATGAAAGGGAGTGACTTAAGAGCATATCACTTTTTGGTAGATCCTGATTACATCTGTGTTGCTGTCAGTGTTAATACAAAGCCAGCGAAGTACATAAATGGCAGAAAGCTTTTGGCTAAGACAGAGTCAAATGGGTTAGAATGAATTCTCCACTCTCTCCTTCCCCCAGTATTTTGAAGAGCCAGTTTTGCCTCCAAGAAATCCTCTTGTAGTAGTGGGTGCTCTGTATACAGATGGAATATAGGATTAGGCCATTTGGAGTAATTTCATATTTTTAAAATGTAAATGTGCTGTTTATCAGTTAATCCTTAATTCTGATTTAAAAAAATCATTGGTTATAATACATGATAGCAGGTTTTGGTTAGCTAGGTTTCCGTAATTTCTTTCATGATTTTCGTCTGTTTTTTTTCCTCTGGTGGTATTTTTCATGTTTAATGTCTAGTATAATTTTAGCTTTCTCTCCTTTTCTTGCTTTGATGCCTTTTGAGTTTCTGTATTGCTGTTCTGTAACTTCTACAATAATAATTTTTTCCACTTACAGCTCTCTTCCAAGAGAAAAACCACTACAGTGGAGCGGAAATCTCCTGCTGCTATCCCTGGAAACATGAATAGGAAAATCAGTAAGTATTATTTCCAAGGTGCTTAGAAATTATCCACATAACCATTTACAGTGTCATTGTCTTCTGGACACAAAGTAAAACTGCTGTTCCATATTAAATTAATGTTAGAGTTTTAACCCCTCTTTTGTCAGAATTTGTTTAAATAGGAATATAAAACAGCAAACATTATCTTATTTGCTGCTGTTGAAATAGCGCAGCTGTTGTAAATCAGGTGACTCCTCCATCACTTTATAAATTAATGTGTAAAATCAAAACTTTAAAGGCTTGAGATATTTACAATAAAAGGTGAAATGTGTAAAGGATGGGAGTGACACAATATGGTACAAAAAATGTCTGTTCTCTTCATTTGTTTGACTTACATCAATAATGTAGAGAGAATTTAAAAAAAAATTAAAGCACCATCATGTTGCTGGTGCTCATTAATACTATAAAGGACACTCCATCAACAAAGCAACAAATAATACAATATAGAATGCAAAGTACAAAGTCCTCCGTCCACCTGACAGCAAAGTGCCACTAAAAATTATTCTCTATAGGCAAAAAAAAGTTAATTGGGCATTCCACACAGACTCAGAAAATTGCATGATTGGGGGTTAGCAATAGAAAGAGGTGTTTCCATCTCCCCTTAAGCATGGAAGGAATTTGTCAAGTCCCTAATGATCACTTATGAAACCTGTCAATCAAACTTATAATGAAGTAAACTTCATCATTTAAAGTTGCAGTAAATAAAATATTTTTCCACCTTGCCTATATAGAATAATAGCAGCGCTGCTGTATGGTAGCATTTTACACCTTTAAAACATTGAACAAACTTTAGCTACTGAGTCTGTTGAGTATGGGCTTGATCCAGAGGTCATTGAAAGCAATGGGAGTTTCTGCTGACTTCATTGAATGTTTATATCAGGCCAAATAATTTTTTAATGGATCTAGCTCCAAAAAGAGCTCTCAGTCTAGGTGAGAATGTTAAAAGTTGAGAAGCAAAGTTCTCCCAGCTAAATGCCTTTTCTTAATGTGAATGTTCTGGGCAGTTACCAGATTGTCTGTAACGTTCTCTTCCCATTGCCACACTGTTTAAATAGCTGACAGGTTTGAAACAGCCAACTCACTCCCAGCTCTGTTGTCTCTATTTTCTTCTCTTTATTTTTAAATAGAATCATAGAACCATAGAGCTGGAAGAGACCTCAGAAGGTCATCAAGTCCAGCCCCCTGCTGTAGGCAGGACCAATTCCAATTAAATCAACCCAGCCAGGGCTTTGTCAGTCGAGACTTAAACACCTCTAGTGATGGAGTAGAGTATCAGAGGGGTAGCAGTGTTAGTCTGAATCTGCAAAAGCAGCGAGGAGTCCTGTGGCACCTTATAGACTAACCGAAGTGTTGGAGCATAAGCTTTCGTGGACAAAGATCCACTTCGTCAGATGCTCCTCGCCGCTTCTAGGGATGGAGACTCCACTACTTCCCTAGGTAACCCATTCCAGTGCTTCACCACCATCCAGCTCTCACCTGTGGCTCCTCGTAGCTGTTTGCATGCAACAGCAGCCACACCCTGGGCAACGGCTTCGACTGGCCGGCGAAACCAGGTGAGGGTAGCCGATGGGCCCAAAACCCTCGGTGAGACAGGGAGTTGTCTATCCCAGCATGTGAAGACAGACTCTGGTGGATTGAGTTGGACAAGTAGAAGGTCCAATGGTCAAGAAGGCAGTCTCCGCAAGTGTGGTTGAACGCGTAGAGCAGGACAAGACACAGAAGACGCCCTGGCCACCCACTGCGCCCAGTCCCATCTCCAGCCATCTTGACTTTCATCTTGCTACAGGACCCAGATGGGAATTGGGAAGAGAGAGTGAAGTTGACGCTGCACAACTTTTCCTCACTTAAATCCAAATCACGCTCAAGTCTCGACACCACATTATTACTATCATCATTATTGCAACCTTTGAAGTCCTGTGGCGATGGGCGAGTGACGAAGCAGCAGGTGTGGACACACTGGGAGCTGTAGTCACAGACCTGCACTCAGGCGGCTCAGGTTTAATGGTCGTTTCTCGCTGATCGAAGCAGCAGTGAAATCCGGCGACTACCTGGGCGACTGAGCAGTCCTTTTTAGGAACGGACTGCTCACTTCCGTAAAATTGGGGAAGGGGCTAGAAAAGGTGCCCTAAACATTGCCTGCTTCACTACATCCGCGGCTGGGGGGAATCCCATTATGGCGGTCGAACAAATACAAATACAGGCAGTCCCCGGGTTACATGGATCCGACTTACATCGGATCCCTACTTACAAACGGGGTGAGGCAACCCCGCACTAGCTGCTTTTCCCACTATCAGACAAGGGAGACACAAAGCTAGCGCCCCACCCAGCAGACCAGGGAGACGCGGAGCGGCTTTTCTCAGCAGACACCTCAGCTTGAGAATAAAGGACTGAGGGAAGTGAGGTGTGGGAGAATAAAAGTGAGCTCTGGAGAAATGTTTGGCTAGAGTTTCCCCTACAATATGTACCAGTTCCGACTTACATACAAATTCAACTTAAGAACAAACCTACAGTCCCTATCTTGTATGTAACCCGGGGACTGCCTGTAAACAGATTAAACATATGATGACATCGCTCACCATTGGAACTTGGAACAATAGGTTGACTGTGCTCTGTGTGAACAAACACTTCCTTTTGTTAGCTTTAAACCCGCTGCCTATTAATTTTATTTGGTGACCCCTAGCTATTGAGTCATGGGAAGGAATAAATAACTTTCCCTTATTTACTTTCTCTACACCAGTCATGATTTTATAAACCTCTATCATATCCCCATCTCAGTCATCTCTTTTTCCAAGCTGAAAAGTCCCAGACTTATTAATCACTCCTCATATGGCAGCTGTTCCATACCTCTAATAATTTCTGTTGATATTTTCTGAATCTTTTTCATTGGCAATATATCTTTTTTGAGATGAGCCAACCACATCTGTACACAATAAGGCAATAAGATATTTTTTGTCTTATTCTCTATCCCTTTTTAAATGAGTCCTAACATTCTGTTTGCTTTTTTGACTGCCGCTGCACACTGAGTGTATGTTTTCAGAGAACTATCCACATTGACTCCAGAATCACTCTCTTAAGTAGTTGTAGTAAAATTAGTCCCCATCATATTGAATTGAGTTGGGATTATTTTTACCAATGTGATTACTTTACATTTATCAACATTTAATTTCATTTACCATTTTGTTGCCCAGTCAGTTTGGTGAGATCTTTTTGAAGCTCTTCACAGTCTGCTTTGGTCTTAACTATCTTGAGCAGTTTAGTATCATCTGCAAATGTTGCCACCTCACTGTTTATCCCCCCCCTTTTTTTAGATTATTTATAAATAACTTGAATAGGATGGGTCCCAAGACAGACATAAGAACATAAGAACGGCTGTACTGGGTCAGACCAAAGGTCCATCTAGCCCAGTAGCCTGGCTGCCGACAATGGCCAACACCAGGTGCCCCAGAGGGGATGGACCAAAGACAATAATCAAGTGATTTGTCTTCTACCATCCTTCTCCAGCCTCTGACAAACAGAGGCCAGGGACACTATTTCTATCCCCTGGCTAATAGCCTTTTATGGACCTAACCTCCATGAAATTATCTAGCTTCTCTTTAAACTCTGTTATAGTCCTAGCCTTCACAGCCTCCTCTGGCAAGGAGTTCCACAGGTTGACTACGTGCTGTGCGAAGAAGAACTTTCTTTTATTCGTTTTAAACCTGCTACCCATTAACTTCATTTGGTGTCCTCTAGGTCTTCTATTATGGGAACTAATAAATAACTTTTCTTTATTCACCCCCTACACACCACTCATGATTTTATATACCTCTATCATATCCCCCCTTAGTCTCCTCTTTTCTAAACTGAAGAGTGTCAGTCTCTTTAGCCTCTCCTCATATGGGACCCGTTCCAAACCCCTAATCATTTTAGTTGCCGTTTTCTGAACCCTTTCTAAGGCCAAAATATCTTTTTTGAGGTGAGGAGACCACATCTGTACACAGTATTCAAGATATGAGCGTACCATAGTTTTATACAGGAACAGTAAGATATTCTGTCTTATTTTCTGTCCCTTTCTTAATAATTCCTAAGATTCTATTTGCCTTTCTGACCGCTGCTGCACACTGTTTGGAAGTTTTCAGAGAACTATCCACGATAACTCCAAGATCTCTTTCCTGATTTGTCGTAGCCAAATTAGCCCCCATCATACTGTACTGTACAAATTAGACCCTTGGGGGACCCCACGAGTTACATCTCTCCACTCAAAAAATTTACCATTTATTCCTACCCTTTGTTTCCTGGCTTTTAACCAGTTATCAAACCATGAAAGAACCTTCCTTCTTATCCCATGACAGCTTACTTTACTTAAGAGTCCTGTTGACCCCCTCGAAGAACTCTAGTGGATTAGTAAGGCATAATTTCCCTTTACAGAAACCATGTTGACTTTTCTCCAACAAATTATGTTCATCTATGTGTCTAACAATTTTATTCTTTACTATAGTTTCAGCTCATTTGCCCGGTACTGACGTTAGATTTACCCGTCCGTAGTTGCCAGGATCAGCTCTAGAGCCTTTATTAAATATTGGCATCATGTTAGCTATCTTCCAGGCATTAGATACGGAAGGTGATTGAAAGGATAGGTTACAAACCACAGTTAATTGTTACAAAATTTCTAATTTGTTCTTTTAGAATTCTTGGGTGAATTCCATCTAGTTTCGGTGACTTGTTACTGTTAAGTTTATCCATTTGTTCCAAAACCTCCTCTAGTGACACCTCAAACTGGGACAGTTCCTCAGATTTGTCACCAAAATAAATGGCTAAGGTTTGATAATCTCCCCAATATCCTCAGCTGTGAAGACTGTAGCAGAAGAATTCATTTAGCTTCTCTTCAATTACTTTATCATCTTCAAGTGCTCCTTTAGCATCTCTATCGTCCAAGGGCCCCACTGATAGTTTAGCTGGCTGCCTGCTTCTGATGTACTTAAAATACATTTTGCTATTACTTTTTGAGTTTTTGTCTAGCTGCTCTTCAGACTCCTTTTTGCCTTTTCTTAATATATTTTTACACTTAATTTGAGAAAGTTTATGTTCCTTTCCATTTCCCCCACAAGAATTTGACTTCCACTTTTTAAAAGATGTCTTTTTATCTGAATCTGCTTCTTTTATTTGTTTGTTAAACTATGGTGGCACTTCTGGTTCTCATGCTGTGCTTTTTAAATTTGGGGTATACATTTAAGTTGGGCCTCCCACTTAAAGAGCAAGTTCCTTGAACTGTCTCTCTGTATCCTTACATCCATGAAGGGCCAGATATCTGAAAGCAGAACATGTATTAACTTGAATGGCTTTGAATCTTTATTCACAAGAATTGAATAGGTAAAGAACTCTTGATTTTACAACAAGGCATTATAACAATATATGTTCCTTGATGACATAAGATCATCAGATCACTTCAGTCCACATATCAAGTGGTTGCTCATTAGCCATTCTGAGAAGATGCTTTCTATACATCTCTGTGCCTTTTGGGAACCTCTCTACTCCTTTTTTTATAACTGGAGAAGTGAAAGCAAATGTTCCCAATAATTTTATGGAGACTGAAATATATCTGCTCTTCTTAGATCCCTCAAAGATCAAGTTTTTGCTTGATAAAGTGTTTGCTGAGACAACCATTCTGTAATACTACTAGAGGAATATGTTTTCAGAGCTGATAGTGGTTGTGTTTGTTTTTCAGCTGACTATGAGTTAACACAACTACAAGAAAAACTGAGAGAGACTGAGGCGGCTATGGAAAAATTAATCAATAGAGTAGGACCTAATTGTGACAGGTATGTTTTATATTACAGGAATTTAAAGAAGAAGAGTAGATAAATTAAACTTGCTTTGTATCAAAATGTAAATCTCTTATATATGTCAGAATTTTAATTGCTTCTGCTTCACAGTGTTGACACACAGTTTTGCTCTGTTGTTCACATTTTTCTTTTCAAGTTCCATATTAAATTGTTTTTTCCAAGGTCAGTTTCCTTAAAGGGGAACACCTGCGCCCCATTGTATGTACTATGTAATTTGGGAGATATCTATGTCTAAATTGAACATGAAAATATCTTGGGCTCAAAAGCAAAGCAAAAATACACAATCTTCCATAGCCAATGAATTTTCTGAATATTACCCCAGATGACTACTTCATTTTCTGTTCCCTTCCAGTGTTGAGTATTTTTTATAAAACATTAATGTGGTTATACTTTCTATAGTATAACCTTTTTGAATCTCTGTAAAATGTTTCCTTAGGGGCAAGGCTGCATATTAATCTGTTTCATTAAGCAATTTCCACTAGTTTGATTTGCAAACCCACTTAGTTAATAAAAATGAAAAAAGAAAATTTGCTAAACTAGTGTTTGAAAATGTTTTTCTTTGTTATATTGCTCACTAATATTTGTGCAAAGCTTCTTAATATATATGTTATGTTTACAATTATTTTGAAATAATGATTGAAGATTCTTTCACAAAAAGCTGAATTATAATTCCAAGATATAAGAGTTGTATTTGGCTGTAATATGAAAGTTGAATACGTTGAGATTTTGTTACAAAATTACAAATTTTGTAATCTGTTCCCATTTCCTTATAATTTTAAATGTATACTCTTTACATCTAGAATGAAAAACCTTAGCACTGCTCTAATTTTGTTTCTAATTGTTTATATGTTTTTTTTAAGGGCTTGGTCCAATGCCCTTTGAAGTCAGTGGGAGACCAGAATGAGATTTTAAAAACCTCCAGAACTAGGGCTTAGAACTAGAATTTTTGTTTGGGCCTTTGTAAAAATAGGGTTGATTTGTAAAATTTGTTTCTGGATTGAAATTTTGATCTCCCCTACATCCCATCTGCACAAATCTCTGGGTTTTATAGTACATTATAGTACTATTTGTAGGCCTGTCTTGATGTGAGTAGTTAAATATGGGAGATTTTGTGGAAGACGGGATTTGGGAGGTAACTAGACCTGCAGGCTAAATACAGAAAGTTTGTGCTGGAATAAGTAAAAGGGTCAGTAAACTAGAAGATAGAATATTTGAGCTAGCTAAGGGTTCATGTAGGCTGCATGGTTTTTTTTTCCGGAAAAACAGATGTTTTTCCGAAAAAACTTCACTTACGTCCACACTGCTATTGCATTCTTTCGAAAGAAAATTGGAAGAACGAAGGGGTTTTTCCAACATTGGTAAACCTCATTCTACTGGGAAAAACGCCTTTTCTGAAAGAGCTCTTTCAGAAAAAGGCATGTGTGGACAGGAAAGAAGGAGTTCTTTCAAAAGAACAGGAAAGAGGAAAAAGCACAGGTGCCCTGGTGCCCACTCCATCCATAATAATCACATCTTAAATGCGAGATAGTGTCCGTTTATTGTGGACACTATCTTTTAAAAAAGCAGATTTGCTTTTTCAATGCGCTTTGGCAGTGTGGATGCTCTCTTTTGGAAGAAGTTTTTTTAGAAGATCTCTTCTAAAAAAGCTTCCTACACAAGATGCTTGCAGTCTAGACATACCACCAGACAAAAGGGGGGAACACCAAGATAACCATTCAACTGCAAACAAAATGACAATGGATAGTAGAAGTCAGGAGCATTAAAATAAAGTAGAGTAAATCATGGGCAGCACAAGAACCATGCATCCTATACTGGGACTCTTCGCTCATAGAAATAGAAGACTTTTAAAGGAGTAAAGGGATTTTTTTGGTAAATATTAACAGAAAGAGAGGTAAGATTCTGAGAAGGAAGAGGGTTAGACAACAGAATACATTTATTACAAAATATAGATTGTTAGATAATTATCTGATTAAGGGCATGATGAATCATAAAGCTTTGAAACAATCTCAAAACGATCTCGAAATTCTCAGTCTTCTCTCTTGTACAGATGTAATCCATTCCCAGTTTGTCTGATTTGTCTCATAGTGAAGACTGTTTACAGGAAAAAATTAATTTCCCTTGTTAAAGTTCTTATATCTGTCACCTTCATATAACCTTATTTTATTGTCCTTCCCAGTTTATTATAGCATTCACATATTAATCCATAAAATAGTACAACAAATAATCTTCAATCTATCTTTAATTCTCAAAAAGAACAATTTAAAACACTCATTAACTGTATTTTACCGTAAGATTTAGCAGCCTGTGCAGTATTGTTCATGAACTTAAAGTGCAGCTTAACTCTGAAAGTGATTTACATATCAGATTTGCTCAGGTAACAATTAAAAAGATTTTTCCAAGTTCTCATCCTACAAACTCAACTTGGGATCTGAAGGTCAAGCTAGGACATGGGTTCCCAAACTGGGGGGGGGCGTGAAGAAATTCCAAGGGGGGCGCGAGGCAACCTACCCTCTTCCCTTCCCCTCGGTCAATCTCCCCCCTAAGTTTCGCTGCTCTTTTTGGTTTTTGGCCCCGGTCAGTTCCTTTTTTTTTTTCTTTCTCTTTTCTCAACAAGTTTTGCTGCTATTGGGGGGCGGGGACGTGAGGGTTTCTCAAAAATCAAAAAGGGGGCATGATGCCAAAAAGTTCGGGAACCACTGAGCTAGGATCTTTCAAGCAAGGGTATAAGAAGGGTAGCTGTGTTACTCTGGATCTGCAAAAGCAACAAGGAGTCTTGTAGCACCTTATAGACTAACAGATGTATAGGAGCATAAGTTTTCATGGGCAAAGACCCACTTCGTAAGATGCATATAGTGGAAATATCCAGAGGTAGGTATAAATATTCAGGCCAGAATCAGGCTAGAGATAACGAGATTAATTCAATCAGGGAGGATGAGGCCCACTTGTACGAGGAGTAAGGGAGGTCAGAGGAAGAGTGCTGTACTTAGAAATAAATGCTGCATAGATGCTCTGAATTTCAGAGTAAGTTATTTCAAAATAAGCTACGCAATTGATGTAGCTCAATTTCCATAGTTCATTTCGAGTTAAGCCCTGCTGTGTAAACGCATCCTCACTTAAATATTCTGTTGTTGATGCATAGACCAGCAAAGAATGTATGTTTTTCCTAAAGTGGGGTTATGCAGAAATTAGTATAACAAACAGTAAAACCATTCTTTAACATTTTAATAAACATCTCTGCCTCACACAGGGAGCAGCTATACAGGATAAGAAACTGCATTTACTAGTTACTCTTTATAGCAGAGCTGCATTTTCACATAACATAGTTTTGCAGTTTAAATTTTCTTTAGTCTTAAATTTGCTTTAGTCATAGATAAATTTTGCTTCTAATTTTATTTAATTATAGTTAGCAAAAGAATGTAGAAAATGGTATATTTCTCATTCAGCATATCTGCTCCAGTAGGCATGTTTTTCAGACTTGGACATCTGATTCTAACAAATAGCTCCACTCAGGTGAGCACTGATATGCCCAAATGTCTGTTTGATACAGAGCTGTCTTGAAAGCCCAAAGGTAGTTTGAGGGAAACTCATTTTGGAATCTCGACTCACCAGCTCTCTGAATCTCTTCTGTTTATTGATAAGAAAAAAAAATCTCATTTTCTCTCAGCTGTGCAGAGTCAATGAAATTGAAGAGCTGGAATTTTTCATTATTGGCTAGTGTACGAATGACATTCTTAGCTCTGTTCAGCTGCAAAGTCTTTGTTTCTGATGAATTAGGTAGAAATTTTCTTTAATGGAGATTGCCTATCTTCTAGAACTGGAAGGGACCTTGAAAGGTCATGAAGTCCAGGCCCCTTGCCTTCACAGCAGGACCAAGTACCATCCCTGACAAATTTTTGCCCTAAATGGCCTTAGCAAGGATTGAACTCACAACCCTGGGTTTAGCAGGCTAATGCACAACCCACTGAGCTATCCCTCCCCCAACTACTTTGTAAGTTACAAAATCGTGTTTACAGAAATCATATTTTTACCATAAACTGAACACATGCTGTGGAAATTGAGAGGGAATAAATATAAAATTCCATGAAGCCATTTTTACAGTACCTCTTCTGCCTATATATGAAGATGAAGGCTCCAAACTGAAGTGTTTGAGACACTTAAGTTAGATTACAGATTTTCATTGCAATCATGATAGCTCCTTGGGAACTGTTATGATCTCAGCACATGTATATAAAAACGTTATATCTGCCAATGAGTATTTTGGGACGCCACAGTACAGCATGTGCTTCATTGACATGACAAATTGTAACAGCTCTTTTGGAGCTACAAGCAAGCACAGTAAGAATGAAGTACTGTTGCACTCTGAAATGATCATGCTCCTACACTTCAGTTAGTCTATAAGGTGCCACAGGACTCCTCGCTGCATTTCTTCCACAGTAAACTGTCTGCCGCCTCCTCCTATGCAGTGTCCAGGCAGACAGGGTATCCCATGTAGACATTTACCTGTACAGAAGACCAGCACCATAGTTTATGCAGCATTTAAGTTTCACTTAAGTCCAAGTTTGAGGGCTTTGGTGGCATGTAAATAGTGCATAGGACTTGTGCCTACCCTTCTGCACGGGGTGAATTTCACTGTCTGAGCAAGCCATTTAAAGCCTCAGTGTAGAACCTTACTCAGGAGTTTCAAATACAAGTTGTATAGAGAGCCGAACACCTTTTAATAGACTTTTCCGTGTGCTAGGACCTTGCCTTAGCCGATTCATGTCAGCTCTTGGTGGCTGGCTGCCGTCTCAAGATATAGGTGATATTTATTCAGTTTATATATATTTTTGTCTTTGGAAAAAGGGGATTAAGCTGCCAGTTCTCTTTCAGCTACAGCCCACGGTAGACAACTGACAAAATCAATTTATTACAGGAGGATACATAACATTCATCTCAAATACATGCATTCACAATCCACAACTGCACACTTCAGATATTTATCACTTGTCATCTCAGACCCAGACCAATTTTATGGAGTGAATTCTGCTATCAAAGTTCAGTGGGACCAAGAGGTGGAATTTGGCCCTAACTGATTTATACCAGCATTGTGCAATTTTATCAAACAACCCTGGTCAAGTCCATAAAAACTTGCTGTTTGGAAATGCCCTATTGCCTGATTTTAGCAATGGAAATGGAACTTATGGGCAGCAGTTCTGACAGTCAAAATGAGAAAGCATTATCATAAAATCCATCAGCTCTGTAAACATTATATCATGGTTTCTAGTGTTAGACTGTATGTAGAATTTTAACTGTAACAAGCGTTTGAGTGAAGAACTAGTGTCTTCTGCTAGTAAGTGAATGTACATGAGGCAGAGAGATGTGGGAGCTCTCAATGGATGCTTGAAGCTCCCGGGTTTCCAAGAACAGATATACCATAGTGAAAGTTGTGTGCAAAATAAGGAAGCCATGGAGATAATCTCCCTCTCTTCATCCCCGCATCCCTAATCATGTGCTGGTTTTAGATGCTGCACTCCTCTTAAGTGTGACATTCATCTTACAGGAGCACTTAAAAAATAATATCATCTGTTACTCATGGGGCCAAATTTTGATTTGTCACTGCCACGACACCCAGAGGTACCCAAGATTGTGGGACACCTTGCCACCTTCTGCCCCCATGGTGAAAGGGAGCCTGTCTCTAAACCACAGGAAATGGAAGCACTTCCCACTCAGCCCATGTGAGTGTGCTGCCTTTATGCAGGCAGCATTCAGAGTGTGCACGCTCCACTCCCTGCCAGAGCATCCAGCCCCTGTTCTGTGGGACCCTCTGGCTACGTCTACACTGCACAGTTATTTCGGAATAAGCTATTCTGGAATAGTTATACTGAAATAGCTTATTTCGAAAAAGCACATCTACACTGCAGGGGAGCCTCAAAATTAGTCCGAGGCAGGCTTCCCTAATGTAGACTTGCTACCTTGATTTAGAGCCCCAGGAGGAATAACTTTGAACAGTAAGGGGCTATTTCAAAATAGCAACAGTGGAGCATCTACATAGGCCTTATTTCAAAATTGCTATTTCGGAACAAGCGTTATTCCTCATAGAATGAAACTTACAGAAGTCGGAATAAGCTGCCTGTTATTTCAAAATGATTTTGAAATAGCGGAATTGCTCTATAGGTGCTCGCACAGCTATTTCGGAATAACGACTGTTATTCCGAAATAACTTTGCTGTGTTGACACACCCACAGAGTTACAATCACCATGGGAGCGGAGGTTGTTTGTAACTCTGGAGTATTCATAACTCTGAACAAACTGTTATGGTTCTTTCAGAAATATACAATTGAACATTGATTTAACACAGCTTTGAAACTTTATGGTACAGAAGTAAAATGCAGCTTTTTAATTATCTGAATTTAAATTAAACAATCACAAACAAGTTTCCTTAACTTGCCAAATCTCTTTTTATTTTTCCATTTATTTTTTAGTAGTTTACATTTAACACAGTACTGTATTTGCTTTTTCAGATGAAATCAATATATTTACTCTGTCTTTATACCTGTGTAACTGAGAACAGTATCTGGCCCATAACCCCTAACTATTCTGCCAGTTTTGCAAACCAAAAGCCCTATTCTGATGTGTCACTGCATTTGTGGAAGCATAACTCCATTGACTTCAGGGGAGTGATTCCTGACTGACACTGGTATAAGTGATATCAGAATCAGGCAAAGTTTTTTAAAATCACAGCTGGGCTTCTTGTTTACCTTTTACAAAAGACAGTAACAAAAATAGTTTGCTGAGGCCAAGTGCTTCTCTGTTCCTGCCATTTAATCAGCATGGGAGAAACTGACAGCCAAATCAATGAGTCACTTGGTTTCAACTAACAGGTGGAGATATGAAAAGACTGCTCTCTGATTTTTTTCCCCACTGACCACTAATGCTATCGGGCTATTATAGGAGAAAAAGAATGTGTGATTACTATATAATGAACAGTTATAGCTAAGTGCTTCTAATTTCTATTCACTGGGTAATGAAATATATCAGTAAATGATGTGACAGGATACACCTGTAGAAACTATACTTTAGACTTAATCTCAAAATAACCTAATTTCTCTCATCGCCATTCAAATCAAGATGCCACAGGTAAGATTAAACCCAAAACATCCAATTTTTTCATCTCTCTCCTGCCCAGGAGAGCTATCCTGACAGTGCTGCTTGATGATAACATTATGTTGCTACCCAACTGACTTAATGAGGCTGTGAGTCCACAAATAGAATATTTTAACTGGCCAATGAGACTCCAGTACTGTGAAAGCAACATTTAAGTAGCTGCTTCAGCAACCATCCATGCTGTCAGCAAAGAATTTTTATGGAGTGCTACTGCTTTACATGCTATCTTACATAATGTTCAAAACTTAGTGTAGCACCTGAATGAAGCAACACAACAGGATGTGCATTTTTCTGTAGAGTCTCAAACAAGGATATTCCAAGTCACATTCAACTTAGAGAGAAGGAGTCTTTAGAACAGGAGTGGAGAACCATTTTTGAGTTGGGGGCCACTGACCCACAGAAAACCTGACGGGGGCTCTCACAAGTGAAAAGCAAAAAACCAAAAACAAACCAAAAAAAACCTACACAAGAAAGAGAAAGACACTCTCCATATTCCCACGCACCAGAACCTAGGTGGGGCCAGGCTATGAGATTTTGTGTGTTCTAGCCCTGCGGTGGGGGAGGGAGGGGTTGGAGTGCCATTGCAGACTCCCCAATGCTGGGGGGAGCCCGGAGCCTTTGGGGCCATATCCAAGCAAGCTGGGTGCCACATCTGGCCCCTGGGCCTTAGGTTCCCCACCCCTGCTTTACCATAACCATGCTGCTTTCTCTACCAGCCAAGCAACTCCACAACTTTAGTTTGTGTAGGGTGTTTTCTTATCCTTGCTTGTTGTTACCATCCTATTGTACTCAAATATGAAATACTGATTCTACTGTTATCCAGACTCCTTTAGGAGTGGTGTTTGATGTTTTCTAGCAGGGTCCAAAATGTTACAACAGACCAGGAAAAGAAATTACTCCAGCAGCTGCGAGAGATCACTAGGGTCATGAAGGAAGGAAAACTCATAGATGGCATATCCCCAGAGAAGGAAGCTGAAGAAGCTCCTTATATGGAAGATTGGGAAGGTAAATGGGGTCTTTCATTTCTTCTTTACTGTCATCTGAACAAAGTAATTTTGCCAGAAATAGATTATTTTTCTCCAGATGCCAACAGACTTCTACCCAATTGCCTCATGTCTTTTCAGAAACGTGGCCAGCAAGACTTTACAAAAAGGATTCCTTTTCTAATTATGTTAATGAGCACATGGATGTTAAACTATCTAGCATTTCACATTGCGTGGATAACACAGCATCTGCTGCCAAAATTGGCAGATGACCTTGAGTCCACCCCATTTGCTACTTTGTCTTGCCTGACATCGATTTATTTCTTTGCTTTTCTTAATGTGGCCTGGTTTTATTTTCTTCAGCATAATACCCATGGAAATCAGAACCAAATTATTGTGCCTTCTTTACTTCATTTTGGTTTTGTTTCTTTGTTTGCTCTAATATTGTAAAGAACATTGGAGAAGTTAACTCTAGGAGTTCTGTCTTTTTAAAATTCTGCTTTATAAGCTCATTTTGATTTCTTGTTGTAAGTGTTACATGATCGTGTTTTTAAGCCATCCTGATGGTGGTGTGTTAACTTTTGAATTCTAAAGGCTTTTTTTCAGGAGACTTAATATTTTGCCCTTTAGGAAGCTTTCAGAATAATTCAAAACATAAATAATAGCCTCAGGCTCTGCTTTCTTACCCTAGTTCTTGATGCTTTTTAAAACATGAAATAAACAAAAGTATTTGTTTTTTATCTAGTTACCCAGCTATGTAAAGGATGTTGTTTAATTTTGTATCTGAGGTCTTCAAAATATGTTTTCATGCATTAGCTGGAAGGCACTGAGGTATTCAGAATCTTTCTTTTATTTAAACATCTAGGTCCAGATTTTCCAAAGACTGTCAGCCAGCAACTCCCAGGGGGTTCTCAGTCTAGCCCCAGAGGTGGGTGTGGTGCACTTTTGAAAATGTTTGAAGTCCTGACCCCACTGTAGTCAATTGGAGTTTTGCCTTTGACTTCAAAGGGACCCGGATTTCACTCCATCCCCTCAAAGTTTTGGATGGTGTTAATTTGGAACAGCTTATTTTAGGGAGCCTCAACAGAGAAAAAGCTAAGTGTTGCTCTCCTTATGACTTTAAAATTCTTAGGGTAAGCTCTACATTCCTTGAACACGTTTGTCATCAAGGTGGTTGTATCAGTACAGCATCTTTCTTTTAAAATCAAAATTAGTATTTTAAGGTGCATGCCACTTTTGTTCCTAAGGTTATCCAGAAGAAACTTATCCTGTGTATGATCATTCAGATTGCTACAAGCGTAGACAGGACACAATCCTTGTGGATTACCCTGATCAGAACCAGCCCTCTGCTGAAGAGATAGCTGAAAGAATAGAGGCTATGGAAGATGAGGATGAGTTCAGCAGTGACCCCTTGCTATCTGATCTCTCTACTGAGTGTGAAAGCCATGATATGGCACAGAAAAAGGACCAGCAGATTAGCTTCAGTGACCAAGCTGGTATCCTCCATCACAGCCATAACTTTGAGAAGTGCTACTGCTGCCACTATGAAGAGGATGATCCTGCTGTCATAGCAGAGAATGCTGGGTTCCATACTGAAAGCTGCAGTGAGGCTGACGACACAACCAAAGAAGATCTTTCCATGGATTCTGACGATGAAAATGCAGGACTGATGAGCCAAAACGCCAATGATCCGGATGCAGTAGGCACGCTGAGAAAGCGAAACACAAAGGGACTGGAGTAATGGAGGCCACCGTGTGTGGGCATAATAGTGATAGCAAGACTTTACAAACTCTCACACCTGTGCTCTTTGTTCTTGACTCACGCTTATCTTCTCCATTTCCAGCACTTGGTGCTATTTCTGCTGCCTTGGCCATGGTCACACCACCACCACCACCTGAAGTGGAAGTTAATGGTCCCCTTTGAGTCACTTAATTGCTTATCACCTCCAGCATTTGATTGCTAGAGATGGCTGTGAATGGGAACAGAAGGTTATTCTGTTCAACTATCCACACGTTGTTTTGATTTAAGCCTGAGAGTTTGCTGCAGCTGAATTACCACCTTTTCATCTGAAATGTTAACTGCACCAGTAGCCTACCAGTATTGGGAATGGACTTCCTGCCCCAACTGTCCAAACTTTGCTAGCTATCCAGGTATCAGTTATGAGAACAAGACCACTTGTATCTAACTATTTAGGAAGATGGAGAGGAAAGTATTACATTTGTAGCTGCTCTTTTCTCTGAAGCAGCTGCTAACTATCTCCTTGCTGCACAACACTTTTTCAACCGCATTGAAACTGTCAGAAGGATCAATATATCCGACAGAACAGGATATGCATTCCTTGACAGCTGAGGCATTCTTGGCCAAATGCAGAAGTGAAAACAGTGTCTCAGGACTGCAGATGCTCAGCTGATTGCCTTTATCATGTGGCTCCTTAATTTAAATCCTTCACAAAGGACACTCTAATGTTTGCATTGTATGTTGTTATTTATGATAGCTTCCTACTGTGAAAATAGTCTATAGTGGAAGAAAAAACCATAAGAGAAAACACTGTAAACCCTTTCCTCCTTTTCTTTGGAATTTATTTATTTTTACTTTTTTTTAAATGCATTCATTGTAAAGTGTGGATTCCCTCCCAGATCCCACACTCCGTCCTGCACTCTAATCCCTTACCCCAAAGTCCCTTCTGCACCCAACCTCCATCCCCGACCCTGCCCCTCTTCCATTAATATCATAGAAGAGTGTGGTCCTTGATCAATTTCCAACATTTTAGTGTGCTCCCCCTCATCAAAAATTATTGCCCACCCCTGATCTAAACCATCTGTGACTGATGTTTGTCTCATCTGCTCTTAAAAATCTCCAATGATGGATATTCCACAACTTCCCTCGGCAATTTAATCTAGTGTTTCTCCATTTTGACAGGAATTTTTTCTAATGTCCAACCTAAACCTTGTGGCAATTTAAGTCCATTGCTTCTTGTCCTGTCACCAGAAGTTAAAGTGAATAATTTTTCTTCCTCGTCCTTGTGATATTCTTTTAGGGTGCATCTAGACAGCACCCTTCTGTCAGAATAAGATACAAAATTAGCGCTAAGCAAATTGCACAACTTATTCTGAGTCTTAGTTGAAAGAGCTGATTTTGAAATAAGGCACTATTTCGGGAAATAGCAAGCATGTTTAAAGATACGGCATTACTATTTCGAGTTACTTCCGGTACCGAAATAGCACCATAGTCTAGACGTACCCTTTATATACTTGAAAGCTATTATCATGTCCCCTCCTAGTTTTTTCCTTCTCCAGACTAAACAATTCCAGTTCTTTCAATCTTCCCTCATAGGTCATGTTTTCTTTATAATTTTTGTTGTTCTTCTCTGTACCTTCTCCAGTTTGTCCACATCATTTCTGAAGTGTGGTAACTAGAACTGGACACACAACTCCAGTTGAGGCCTAATCAGTGCAGAGTAGAGCAGAATAATTACTTCTTGTGTCTTGCTTACGACACTCTTGTTAAAACAGCTAAGAATGATGTTTGCTTTTTTTGCAATAGTATCACAGTGTTGACTCATACTTAGCTTGAGGCCCACTTTGACCCTTAGATCTCTTTCTTCAGTACTCCTTCCTAGGTAGTCATTTACCATTTTGTATGCATGCAACTGGTTGTTCTTTCCTAAATGGAGTACTTTGCATTTGTCCTTACTGAATTTCATCCTAATTACCTCAGACCAGTTCTCCAGTTTGTCTATGTGACTATGCAAATCACAGAATAAAGTGTACATAGCTTTTCAGAAAGCCTTTGAAAAGGTCCTTTACCGAAGGCTCTTAAGTAAAGTAAGTTGTCATGGAATAAGAGGGAAAGTCCTTTCTTGGATTGATAACTGGTTAAGACAGGAAACCCAGGGTAAAAATAAATGGTCAGTTTTCAGAATGGAGAGGTAACTAGTGGTATCCCCCAAGGGTCTGTACTGGGACCAATCCTGTTGTAATGTATTTATAAACAATCTGAAGAAAGCAGTAAACAGATAGAAAAATTTGCAGATGATACTAAACTTCTTGAGATAGTTAAGAATAAAGCAGACTGTGAAGAGCTTCTAAAGGATCTCACAAAACTGTGTGATTGGGCAACAAAATGGCAAATTAATCTTAATGTTGATAAATGCAAAGTAATGCACCTTGGAAAAAATAATCCCAATTATACATACAAATGGTGGAAACTAAATAAGATCTTAGAGTCCTGTGGATAGTTCTCTGAAAACATCCATTCAATGTGCAATCAGAAAAGCAAACAATGTTAGGAATTGCTAAAAAAAAAAAAAAAAAAAAAAGGACAGAAAATAAGACAGAGAATATCTTATTGCCTCTATATAAAACCATGGTACACCCACATCTTGAATACTGTGGAAAGGTATGGTCACCTCATCTCAAAAAAGATATATTGGTGTTGGATAAGGTTCAGAAAAGGGCAACAAAAATGATTCAGGGTTTGGAACGCATCCCATATGAAGGGAGATTAAAAAGACTGGGAATTTTCAGCTCAGAAAAGAAGAGACTAAGGGGGGATATGATAGAGGTCTATAAAATCATGACAGGTATTTATTTACTTGTTCCCATAACATAAGAACTAGGGGTCACCAAATGAAATTGGCATTGGCCACTGTTGGACGACAGGATACTGGGCTAGATGGACCTTTGGTTTGACCCAGTATAGCCGTTCTTATAGTCTTATTTTCTTATGATCTGGTGACATAAGAAGGGAGATTGTGATGTGTGGGCAGTGCAAATAATACTGTACCACTGTCTAACCAAACTTTATTAAAAGGTAGGATTTCTGGAGAGGGGCGACTTAGGTGATTCTATCAGCCGTGCCCTGCTAACCTGCCACCTCACCCTGTAGGCACCTAAGTTTTTACTCAGAATCCTTTCTGCTGGTAAGCAGATGTGTAGTGGTTTCTATCTCATGGGCTTTCCAAAGTAGACTTTTCTCTGCGTGTGGGGCTTGACCTGCTAGATATTCCCCTGGGGATGCCTCAGTGCTTAGATCTATGGGAGTAGGGCCCACCCAAAACAGTGCATGAGGAAGAGACCTGATTTGCAGTCCCTAGCCTGCATGATTTGTTCTGTGAAATTGAACCCAGTTCTAAGCTCCCCAAGGCACTTGGCTGTGGGGTATTCAGCGTATCTTCCTGTTGAAGCTTCTCCGCTTGGAGTTAAATACTTCACTTGTCATTGTAGGAAGGATAAGCGTCCTAACCACTGAATTATAGACTCAGTTGTTGCTCTCTGCACAATAAATAGTTGGGATAAAGTGAAGCAGCTTCAACAGGGGAGCATGAGGCCAATCTAGATCAAAATATCCCCTAGGCCAATGGGCAGGGAACTATTCTGAAAGCATAGAAACCTAAGTTCCAATTCCTTCTCCCACTTTTGCTAGTTAGCATTGAATCTAAATCCCTTCTCTCTCCCCTTCCCTCCTTCCTAGCACTTACTTCCCCCCCTCTCAGCTTCTTCATTACCCCAACTCCTCAGGCCTTTTCACTGCTTCTGCGCAATATATTTCTGTACTGTAAAAAAAATGAATTATTACTGAGATCCGTGTTAATATGTCATATAAGAAATCTGTCAAAATGTTTTCTGGATCTTCTTTCTTGTCTGTATTGTTACATGTATTTTGAAATAAATTATCAAAATAATGGAAACTGTTGTGATTATATTATTTTTGATCACCAAAAAATTCAGCATTTTGCAGGATTCTAAAATATTGTGTGCATAGTTTGTAGGCACAGAATTGCTGAGTTCCCATATATATTTCTAGGAGTAATATATTTGACTAAACATCAGCAGCAGTCATTGTCTCTTAGACATAGTGGATTTTAATTTATTGCAGGAACCCAAATGGTATCGTGACAAACAGATTGTCTGGGGTTCTGAGCACAAATAAGACTTTACATCAGGTCATGAGAATGTGGGTTTAGGAAATTCTGTCTGCAAAGGTGTGCTTATGGCATTTAGGTCCCTACTATTTATAAATACATGTCTATGAAATTAAACAGATCTTTGTTTTTATTTGAGTTTTGGTTGCCATTTGGTATATATCTCAAAACAAATGTAAACTGTCTAAAAGTGCCCTGTTCATCTTAGTAGAGTCAACTCACTTTACTATTCCAAATAACTTTTTGTATTTTAGCATTAAATGCTGTTAAAGTCAGTTCGGTTCTCCGTAACCAAAGGCATCTGAGAGTCCCAAAGAAAGAACAATTGTGTGAGCAACACTCTGTGTATCAATCTATCAAGTAGCATGTCAGAATCTTAGTCATCGCAAAGAGTTTTAATATGCTCATACTGCCCAGAAATGTCTACTTGTATGTGCACTATACTGTGTAGATTATATAGACAGGCAGTCCCCGGGTTACGTACAAGATAGGGACTGTAGGTTTGTTCTTAAGTTGAATTTGTATGTAAGTCGGAACTGGTACATATTGTAGGGGAAACTCTAGCCAAACATTTTTTTTAGTTTTGGATAGCATAGGGAAAGGTTAACTCCCCTCTAATGTTTGTTTTGCTGTCTGTTCCCCTGTTCAGAAGATTTCACATCTATTTCTGTCCCTGTGACAAACTCAGGACTAAAGGAGTAACTCATCAAATACCAAACAGCTCTGCACCATGCTTTGAGCTAATAGCTTTATTTCCACACACCACCCAGGGTTCTAGGAGGAGGGTCCTTTTTTTGCTAACACAATGAGGCCAGCACTTTGTTTGTTTTGGTGGAGTCTTTGTTTGCCCAGGGAGCCCAGCATGTACAGGGGGAGGAGGGACGGAGAGGCTGCTTTTGTCTGCTGTTCGGCAGCCTGTTGCTCAGGGGAGGGGGCAGCCTGTTGCTGGCAGGGGGGGAGGGGGGAGGCGTGCAGGATGCGAGGCCGTGGGGGGGGGGCAGTGGGCGTGGGGAGGCACTTTTCCTCTGCCCGGCAGCTCTGCGGGACCCCAGTCGGAGCCGGCCCGAGGAGGAGGAGGATCCTAGGACCCAGGTGAGCGAGCCCCGGGAATGCTGCTGCGCATGTGCGGGGGTTGCCTCACCCCGTTCGTATCTAGGGATCCGACGTAAGTCGGATCCACGTAAGTCGGGGACTGCCTGTACAGTGATGTGGAAGGCAGGGTATGAACCCATTTTTTATGGCCAATTAAGGTCAGGTAATGACATAGTTGATAATTCGTAAGTATTGCAAACATTTGCCAATAAAATATAACATGTTACTATGTGATATATATATATATATGCTCTATATTTGTACAGCAAAGTTATCACAGAGGGTTTTTTGAATTATTTAAGACACATTTGTACTATTTTTATATCCAGTGTGCTATAAAGTCTAGCCTAACACCAGACCTCAAAGGAAGAGACATAACTGATGAAATATTAATAATACCTTTTAAAAAACCTATAACAATATTTCAGAACTTAATTAAGGCCCAACTAGACCAGTAGTCAATCCTAGGCCAGAACCACATTTGTAATCTGATAACTTGGGCTCCACCATGACTAGAAGCAAAAGCTACTTATGGAAAGGAGAGAGGTTTCTAAGTATTCCTAGGCTTAACAGCTCATGAGATACTAGACTTTAAATCTGCCTTGGTCCAGGACTGACCATCACAGATGAATGTAGATGTGATGGGAAATAACAAATGTAGAGGGATAGAAGAAAAACAACTGTCAGGTTGTTCAATTTATTTTCTTTGAGAGTTGACAGATGGTTGAAAATGCTTAGAGCATTAGCAGTAGCCCTGGCAGAGATGGATGACTAAGCATGGTAAATGCAATTTATCACAAGCTTTGGTCTATTTTGGGCTGCAGTTTCACTGGTCTAGACATATAGGGAATGAAGGGAGTAATGCTGATGTTGCTTAATAAAGAGTTGTTGAGAATTGTAGGTGCTATGTTAGATCCAAACATAGATCATTTTCTTTTTCACATTGTCCTGCCGAGCTGCTGCTGTTGAAACAAGATTGGCAACCTCTCAGAATTGCTATACAAATACAAAGCCAGTGATGAACACTTATAGGTGCTAAGAGATTAATTGTGAAGTTATTAGCAGGTGAGTAACCAACATAGGGGACAATTTTAAGCTAAAGGTAATTCAGCTAACTGGAATAATACTGTACTTGTGTATATATAGAGACTTTATTTAAAAGTATTTAAGTGAATATTATTTTCTGTGTAGGTGCCAGTCTTAGGAAGTGACGTCCATGTTAGGTACCAAACAAGTAGAGTTAGAGACTTTGCCAGAGTGCATATAAAGGAGTTATAGGCGTGATCTATTCCCTCTAATAGGAAATAAATCAAATACCATTGC